AGCGATGTTAGCAAGACTCCGCGCAGCCGGAGTGAACTGCCAATGGGAAGAAGAGGAGGTCGAAGCTCTAAAACAGGACTTCCTCTACGAGTTTAAACGCTCCAAGGATGCCTTTTGGAAAGACAAGATCTCCTCAGCCTCCTCAAGCAAAGACATATTTGAAATGGTCGGTTGGTACAAAGCCACAGGATCCTTTTAGACCCCGCCACTCCGAGATGTAGACAACCAAGACACGCTTGTCTCACAACCAAAAGAGAAGCGCGACTTATTTACCCGCGTCCTCCTTAGAAACGCTGCAATCTCCGAGGACATACCAACAGAAAGCCCAGTCCTACAAAGGCAAGCTACGCTTCCTTTCCCGCAGGTTACGAAGGACGAGGTACGGTCTTCGGTTCTCACCGCGGGAAACACGACTCCTGGGACCGACGGAATCACTATGACTGCTTTGAAAATAGCATGGCCAGTTATTGAGGATATTGTCCTCTCACTTTATAGCGGGTGTATATGCGAGGGTTGGTATCCTACTTGTTTTAAAGAAGCAACTCTCGTGATCCTAGTAAAACCGGGAAAAAGAGACAAGACACTCCCGCGCTCCTATAGGCCAATTGCGCTCTTGGCCGTCCTCGGAAAAGGTTTAGAGAGACTCATCGCCAGACGACTTGCCTGGATCGCAGTTAAACATCGTGTTCTACACGATCAATAGTTTGGAGCACTCCCTCTTCGCTCTTATAGCGACCTCATCGCAGCGGCCATCCACGACATCGAGTGCGCCTAGCAAAGAGGCCTGGTTACCTCTATACTTACGCTCGATATAAAAGGGGCTTTCGACGCCGTGCTCCCAGGACGACTGGTCCGACGCCTCTACGAACAAGGATGGCCGGAGAACCTCGTACGCTAGGTCTCAAGTTTTGTTACCGGAAGGAGAGCAAGAATAAGGCTTGATGGGGAGGTAGGAGACGTCTTCGGTCTCGAATGCGGACTACCATAAGGCTTACCCGTGTCTCCTAACGTGAATGATAAGCGAGTGAGACAGACAAGCGAGTGAGACACAAAACTGCGCCGATGAGATAAACTGGCTTCCATATCAACATCAACAGCATCAATTCAATTCAAACTACTCATAATCCTCATCTTCAGACATCTCTTCAATAAACTGGCACGTTCGTGAATTGTGTCCCGGGTGACCACAAACGCCACACCGTCGCTGACCTGTCTCGGCCCTCAGTTTGCGACCACTAGTACGACGCATTTCCTCCTGAACCTGCGCAGTCACATCTTTCTGTGACTGTATATCTGCTGCGTCAGCTACAGTAAGACTTCCTCCATGTTGTAGGCGTGTTTTCTTAGTTCTCCGTCGTCGACTGAGTTGGTTATTCTCGTCTCTAAGAATCTGTACCTCAGATCTAAGTAAGGCTACTTGGTGCATGATGCCTCTTGTACCTTTAGAAAGTCGTTCAACAGCCTCGCAAATAGAGGTTGGGGAGCTGCTTTGGTGACGAGTGATCCGACTCTTAATAAAGTTGGATTGAGAGCTTGCCTCTACTGGGTTGTTTGGTGTCCTTGAAACCCAAGGCGGAGGTGTCTGTGGTAGTGATGCTGGAGGCGTTGGAGTGTGTAGCCGGATATCCAGCTTTGATAGGACGCTTTCTGCACTCAGAGGAACAAGCCCAGCTCCTATAAAACCCCCTTGGATGTTTTTTTCAGTCATCGCTTGACTAAATGCGCTGCGATATGCAGGAAAGAAGTCCTCCTTTGAGATGTGGGTTACGCCCCGCCGCATCTTATCCTCAATTTGTTGCCCATACGCCGTCTTTAGCGGACCAAAGCACCCAACGTCAAGGGGCTGGAGTAGATGAGACGAATGAGGCGGCATACAAAGTGTAACGATCTTGTTTGCCTTGCAATATAGCTCAAAGTCTGTTGAGTGGTGACTTTCGTGCCCGTCGACGACGAGGAGGCGATATTGGCCTCTCAAAGGTGGTTTCGTATGACGATCATAGTGCTGGATCCAATCTAGGCCTCTTTCATTTGTTGTCCATCCGTTTTCTGACGTCGCAATGACCCAGTCGTCCGGGAAACCTGACTCTGTATACCAGGTTGAGAGGTGATATTGGCCTGCAACGATGATGCACGGCGGGACGTTATAGCCTTGCGAGTTGATGGCTTGAATCACTGTAACCCATTCTCGATTACCAGGCTGCGCCATTTTTGTGTTTGAACGCCTTTCAGTACTTGTGACAACCATGCCAGATGCAATCTGGCCCATCATAAAGCCAGTCTCATCAAAGTTGTAGATATCAAACTCATCGATACCATACTTCGCGATTGTGTTCTTCACAAGAGCGAACCAGCCGCGAATAGCCTCTGTATCCTCGCATTGGGCCCTCTTGTAGTCGTACCTCCGAAAAAACCGCGTCCGCAATTGTGGTTGTCGTTTGACGAAGTTTAAGGCCCAGCGCTTCCTAACCGGAGGCGCGTCGCGATCAGCAAGTAGTCGATCAGCCATTTCTTCTACACCACGGATCCGGGGAGGGAATGATCGGGCATCTAGATCGAGAATGTGATCAACTAACGTCTGCTCTTCTAGCAAAGTAAGATTCCTCGAGTTCGGTATCCTGTCGCTTCGAGATGTAGAGCCCTTCAATCGTCGACTCAATGTTGCATGGCTGACCGAGTAGATCGTAGCTGCAGCCCGTGCACTAAGCTCTGGATTGATTCTGATAGCTTGAAGGGCCAGCTGTATGCCTGACTCATTACTTCTGGATGCCATGATGTGTTGTGGAAGAAACGTCTCCATTTGTGTTGAAGCATCATCGGCGCAGTTTTGTGTCTCACTCGCTTGTCTGTCTCACTCGCTTATCATTCACGTTATTCTATTTATGCTCTATATTGAACCTCTTTTTAAGCTAGGTATAGCTCGCCTAGGAAGGAAGCGATCTCGTTTTGGCTATGCCGATGACGTCGCTATCTTGGTAAGCTTAACATCACTAGAGAATAACTGTGATATCTTAACCAAGGAATGGAAAGAAACCTTAGGATGGGGCGCGACGGAAGGAATTACTTTTGACCTCGATAAGTCCGAACTGATCTACTTTACTAAGAGACGAAAAGACGGAAACCTATTAATTATAGTAGGTTTGCCGGATGGGAGGTATTATATAGTTTAGGCTATTAAAGAAGGCTCTTTTTTATGCTGGCTCGGCGTTTACTTCGACCGTAAACTTATATTTAAGAGTTATGTAAAAAACCTTTTTGTAAAATTATATTAAGTAGTTAATAGACTATGGGGACTAGGGAATACTGTCTAGGGCGTGCCTGCGTACTTACTTTGTTAAGCGATTACCTTTTATATATTACCTATTTAGTACTATATATCTGAAGTATAGTAGCCCGGTAAGAGCCGGATAAAGAATGGACCTATTATTTTAAACGGGGTTGGTAGTCTGCTATATTAACTGGACGCGACGTAAACTAAAGCTATTAGAGCGATGGTACCCGTATATAGAACTATGCCTATACCGATCCTATAGCGCGAGGCGGCTCTACCCCTAGCAGAGGTGATACTGGACGTAAAGCTCTATATAGCGTCTACCAGAATCTATCGTCTGGACGAGCGACACCCTCTCCGAACGAGATTCAGGGACAAATCAGGACCAGACTCACGGCTACGACGAATGGCAAGCCTTGTAAGTAAAAATACCGAATACATCGATCCGTTAGAACTCCCCCCTTAGGAGCAACTGGCGGACTGGTAGATAGCCCTCGCCAGGGTCGGCTACGAACCTAATAAGACCAAAGAAGAACAGGCCCTCTCCTTTGTAGGCAGGATAGCAACTTTCTTTAAGCGGGATATTATTATTTATATTAACGGGTCCTAGATATCGGACGGCAGCAGTACCTCCGCCGGAGCAGGCTAGGTAGGGTACTAAGCTACACGGTAGATCTTCTACGGATCCGAACCACTCGGCTCCTAAACTAAGGTATATAATGCGGAGGTATATACTACGTATTACGGCCTAATAGAAGCTACCCGGGCTCCTACAGCTCGTATAGTAGATAACGTCCATATCTGCCTCGACAACCTCGCAGTCGCGGCTAAACTTTACTCCCAGAGCACAGGAAGCAGCCAGGCTAGATTTAGGGCCTTCAATAGGCTCTCTTCCTCCTAGACTCGGAGACAAAGAGAGAGCTGGACAACCCCCGGCAGGGTTTATATTTAGTGGTGCCCTAGGCACACGGGAGTACCAGGAAATAAAGAAGCGGATGCTCTAGCCAAGGAAGCCTGCAAACTAATCCCAAAATCATAACCATAGCCCTCATTAGCGTACCTAGAAAGGCAAGCTAAAGCAGCTGCCTTCCAAGCCTTTACTAGAAAATGGCTGTCCTAATACCCTCGGCAATATACCGACCTCGAGATAATTCTTCACCCTAAGCCGCCCGAACTCTGCCTCCCTCGGCACTTACTAGGAAGGCTATACGCAGCAAGATCCCATCATAAAGACTTTGCAGCATACCACGAGAGATTCGCTCATTAAGATACGTTACTCAACTATAGCTATAGGAAACCCAAGACACTAGTCCATTTCTACTTCTATAAGCGTAGACGTAAGGCTAAACCGCGCTACCTCCGCCAACATATAGTTAGCCAAAGCAAGTATTGATTTCTTATTAGGTTCTACTAAAGGAGCCTCTCTTCTATACGAATAGATAGAGGAGACCAATTTCTTTTCCGAAATTTGCCCAAGTCATTAAATAGGAACGTTAGGTAAAGACGGTAGCCTATAACATAGTTTAGATTAGCATAGACCATGTCGGCATAGCGCCCGGCACGTCCTTTTGTTACCAGACGTTAAATACATCATCATCATCATCATCATTTCAGAGCGACATGCGACCATACCCACTGGAGAATTCGGGATCCCGTCCGCTCATCATTTCAGAGCGAGCCTCGTACCTATTCTCTACTTTCAATGGATAACCGTTCTCTATCAAACATCTCGATGCCCACATTGTGGCCACACGACACACTGCTAATATTGTGGTATATGGTAAGTCTCTCGGCTACTTCTATGCCGCGTCCCTCGCTTTTAATGGGCAGTCTTTGCTAACTGTTCCAAAGATTTACGGCTTCACCTGGGGTCCTGGCTGCTGGGTCGTCGCTGGGAAAATTGGAATTGGCCAGCTTAGGGAAAAGACACTCTTCCTTGCGTCCATGGGCAGCTTCGTCACTTTTGTTCCAATCAACTTTGTCAACCCTTACGTCCAGGCAAAGCTCGGCGGCGCCGTCACTTTCATCTACGGCGGTTTCTCGATTGTTGCAGTATTGTGGGTCTTTTTCTTCGTTCCCGAGACGAAGAATCGCTCGCTTGAGGAACTTGACGAGATGTTCCAGGCTCATGTTAGGACTCGAAGCTTCGACAAGTACATCTCGTCTGGCTTAGGCGCCCAGATCACCAAGGCGGAGGATTTGAGCAGTAGGAAAACCCAGCTGGAGCAGGCGGAGGACGCTTGAGAACAGATGGCCAACTCTGTGGTCCGAAATGACAGAGCGAAATGTAGGATGGGAATTTACCCCCTTCTGCTCAAATGTGATCTCAAAAAGATTGGGTCACTGGAATAATTCATCGTAATAATTGCTGGACTATTTGCGGAATAGAAGGGCCAGACTACATGGTTTCTGTTGGATTCACAGGTGGAAAAGGAAAATACTCGAGTATCGTGGGTAGCAACGATCACCGACTGTAGTGGTGATATTGCTTGTTCTTGTTGTTCTTTTGTGGAAGTCTAACCAGGTGCCAGCGGCGGCAGGAAGTCTGGGGTATACCACCCTCGTGTGGCTGAGCCACACGGACCACCGTGGCTGGAACGGACCGCGGCAGCAACCTCCTGCTGCCTAATGTAGGCCTATTCCAACAGTTTCACATCTGTCTTTCAAACCATGCGCCCGCGTCCTTTATTTATTCGATATGTTGTCTAGGCTCAGACTTCGCCATATTCATCGACCCCCAGGTGCCTCAGGTAGCTAAGAAATAATGTCACCCCTGGCCAAGTTAGCCCCTGAAGACTCGAGAGCAGGCTCCACCTGCGGTGAAGGAGCCATGCTTCGCCTTTGGATACAGCTGTATGCCTTTCCGTCCTCGACACTGACCCGCAGCACTGCGAAGTCACATCTGAGAGTGAGTTTGATTTCCTCCTTGAATTCATTCAACAGCCACCTCTACTTCCCAGGTCTGGTATGCAATCACGCCTCATACATACCAGAATTCCTGCAGAACATCTGGACATCGTCGTCAAGTTACCGAAGAGAAAAGAAAAACACCGGCCACGCAGCTGCAATCTCCGAAAGAGAATCTCTTTCCCCAGCCAGCAGTCCTGCAGTGATGACAGAAAACTATATCCGTGGCGCGCTTCGAGACGCGTGGAACGGCATCTGCACCTCAGAACAACGCGAAGTCGCCACGACCAAACTCGTTAAGGCTCTAAACCACACTGTCAAGGCCTGGGAGTGCTTGGTAATGGGACTCCTCGCCCTCGATCTCGCAATCACGCTCTACGGCCTCAGCGCTAAGATCTCGGACGCCGTTATCCCCATCCCCAACGAGGTCGCCATCATCGCCTTCACTGAACTTATGGTTCTCGTTCAGCTTATGCAGATACTCCTCCCAGTGTACCCTGCGGAGGAGTTTGAGATGTTTGCCATTCCGCAACAACTGAGAGAGAAGAGCGTGTGCAAGTGGGTGAGCGGCGTCTTTGGACTGCAGGAGACCGAGTTTCCTGCACGTCGCGACGAGATGAGCGGGAACAACCTGAAGGCTTTTGGTGTCTTTCTCATCCCCATCGCGGCCGCTGTGGTATGGAAGTGGAGGAGGGTTCGTCGCCGCCAAAGGGAAATGGCGAGGAATGAGCAAGCGGCGCTTGTTGCCCAGGCCTTTCGTATGTGGGACGCTTAGAGAAGGGACAACTGAGGACACAGCCTCCAAAAGAACATTGCTTTCATCTTTCGATTTTCAAGGGTGCTCAATGATGCTGTGCTATGTACATGAACATAAGGTAACTGAAGAAAAGAGACAGCTTCGAGTGTGCGAAGCGCTTCTTTCATTGAGTAACATAAACAAGGCTCAGTGTGCTTTCCAGGGTCATTGCTAGCCAGCCCCGTGGGTTGAAGACTTTGCTTCATTATTTTTGAAGGACATGATGATACTGGGAAAGAAAGTGTTCTTTCTTCTTCCTCTTCTTTTCCTTAATTAATAGTCTTTTGGACACAATGAATTGATGTGATTAAATACCATCAGTAGAATGCTGGGTTCACCATCAAGTCAGTGTCAAAACCACAATCTTATCCTACAAGCTCCACACACTTCAACAACATCCGACTTACCTCTTTCGGCCTTACGTTATCAATCGAGAAATCCACACGACAGCTCAGCAGTCACTTCGGTACCGGAAGCCCTCAAGGAACACCTCACTAGAAGGGAAAGCCGGAGTATTTGTGCCTTCACCTGCCATCTCGCTCTTTCCAAAGGTGAAAGTCGGCTCCTTCCAAAATTGGAATTGTAACCTGAACTTCACCTGCAGAATTTCACCTCCAGCTTCCATTCACTGAATCACTCCCCACTCATCTTATTCACCTAGTCAACTTAGTGAATACTCACAAGAGCTTTCCCTTACGACGGCCTTCTTCCTCTCAATAAAACCTCTTCTTCTCTCTTCTCCGCCAAAAGTCTCTTCCTCTCACAAACAACCAACCCACTCCTTCGCGACAAAGGATCTCCTACCAGCACAATTTTCCTTCCATCACACAACCAAGATACTCAGAATGTCTTCATACGTTCTTGGAGCCTTGTGGTAAGTCTTTCCTTTCTCTCCAGTTCGCATTACAAGATGAAATGAGAAGCTGATTTTATTTTTTACAGGGCCTGGAACGCCTATGATGAGGTTCTGACCAAGAAGCTCATGAATAAGGCCAAGCCCATCCCCCTCCCTGAGGAGCCTAGCTTCAAGAGCACTGATGTCACCATCATTGTCCCTACCATCAACACTCCTGACACGTTCACCGATTGTCTTCGTCTCTGGCTTGCCAACAAGCCCAAGGAGATCATCATCGTCACCATTGAGCGTGACCTCCAGCGCGTTCATGACCTGGTTAAGCCTGTTATCATTGAGGGCGAGGATCGCATCAGCGTCATGACTGCTGACTACGCCAGCAAGCGTGACCAGATGGTCGTCGGCATGAAGGAGGCCAAGGGCAAGATTCTTGCTCTCGTCGACGATGATGCCTTCTGGGGCACCTTGGAGACGCTTCCTTACCTCCTGGCTCCTTTTGAGGACCCCAAGGTCGGTGGTGTCACTGGCAAGCAAAGGTATGTGAAGTTGTCGTTTCCCCCCTTCGTGTTTTCTTTCAAAGACTTCCTTTGATTTTTTTGACATTACCTTATGCTGAGTTTCACAGCGCTCGCATCAGCACCGACCGCCGTAACCCGGCCGTCATCACTCCCTGGGAGGTCGCTTCCCTCCGCTCCCTCGACAACCAGAACAATGTCCAGGCCGTCCGCTCCGCTGCCGATGGCGGTTGCTGGTGCATGGTTGGCCGCACCATGATGGTCCGCACCGACATTGCCCAGGACCCTCGCTTCATGGAGGCCATTACCAACGACAGATGGAATGGGCAGCTCATGAACACTGGTGATGATGTGTTCCTCACTCGCTGGCTTATGAGCGAGAACTGGGACATTGCCGTCCAGAACGCCCCTCAGGCTGAGATCACGACTCTTGTCATGCGTGACTCTGATCTGCTGTATCAGATAATCCGCTGGCAGCGCAACGCCATCCAGTCCTTCCTCACGACTGTGATGTACCAGCCTGGCATCCGCAAGATCAAGCAGTAAGTCCTCTCTTTCTTGACTCCCTTCTCTTTTGAGTGAGTCTCCAAGAAGCTAAAAATGAGATAGGAAGCATCCCTACATGGCTCGCAAGATGATCGAGCGTCTTCTTCGCCCTGTCATTGCCTGGGTCCACATCATTGCCTTCTTGATGTGCCTTGCTAAGCAGTCGCCCATCGCGTAAGTCCTCTCTCTCTCTCTCAAACTGTTATCAAATAACATGGCTGACTTTCTCTGCTACAGCTACTTCGTTGCGGGCTACTACATCTGGGGCTGGTTCCGCACCTACAACGCCTTTGCGCGTCGCTTTCCCTACGTCTCTCGCCAGATCTGGGCCTGCTTCCTTCTGGACAACGCCCACCCCATCCTCGACGTCTACGCTTGGCTCACCATCAGCACCGAGGCCTGGGGCACCCGTGACACCTGAGCGAAGTCAGACTTGCCGCGACGAGTATCGCAGGCGCTGAGGGGGCAGCGAAATATTTCATGGCACAAGACTTCTTTCAGCACTGGGGCTATGGGATGACTTTCTTAAGACTTGGAGTTTGCGGATCGGATAGATGGGTCTCACGAGTGATTACTGGAGTTTGAGGACAGAGATCATTCATAAATCAATAGATAAAAGGCTTTCGACCACAATACACATGGACACTACGAGCAAACAACAGGCTGCAAAGCCCAGATAGTGACGAACAATGACTAATCGGAGAATGCAAAGCATGTGTAGCGTAATCATTAAGCGTCACACTCAAGATGCGCAATTTGTAGAAGAACAAGAAAGAGACTAACTCCAAACTCAAGCCATCAGTTTGGCCTGTTCTTTCGCGGTTCTTTGGTATTTTGTGAGGCCCATGGCCTCAGCTCGGTCCAGGAATAGAATAGAGTTTACTGCCTACGGTTTCTAGAAGTTGTTTGAGACGTTCTATAGTTCTGGATCAGCCCTATAACATAAAAACACATGCAACTTGTATTCCTTTGTGTCGTACAAAAATGAATCCGTAATTGCCGGCCAGCAATTACGCCTTATTTACCACACTTTGTCAGATGGACAGACCCATTCATCGGAAGCGAAGCCAAACCTTGTCGCTCACTGCCACAACGGCCTCTACCTAAGTCCAGACTATCAGTTCCCAAGGATGAAAAGAGCATGAGCAGCCAGTTCATCCTCTGCGACCTTAAGGTTTAAAAGCGCAGGTACAGAAAATCAATCAATTCCCAAAGCCTTATGGGAGCCAACTTCCAACGCATTGTCACTGTGGTGGCCTAGAGGTGGCTCTCATTGTTTCATATTCTGGCCCAGCGAGCCAGGAGCCCGGGACTTCATGATACTACCTACGTACGACATGACATCTTCGACACCCATGTTCCCCAGCTTGAGCGAGCCCAGCCCTTTGGCACTTCAGCCTTAGAGTTTACTAGGTGCTGAAACGTGGAGACTTGCAGAAAGACATAATCAGGATGAACATGTTATTGATCTGTATTCAAGCTGATGCTCGCTTCTGCCTTGAAACTCAGCTCCACCGCCTTGGCGAGCTGTCATCGAGGTGACTTGCATTGCGCCGGACTTTAGCTTCGACCACTTATCCGCAAGCCGGCAATACCGACATAACGGTTACTTCGGAAAACTCGGCTTGAGGCTGTGTTCTTCTAACTGCCAGTCTTTCAAGCAGTATAAAGCCATGGGCTCTTTCTCTTAGAATGTGGCTTTCAAGCAGAACAACAACTCTTCAACTCTGTACTCCAACAAGTCCATACGTCATTTCTTCCATCGACCACAATGCAGTTCAAACAAAGCGCACTTGTCATCCTTGCGGGATTTCTTTCCCTTACATGTAAGTTGACGCCTAGCTCCTCACGGCCATAGTCTAGATCAACAGCTGCTAACATGGTGCTTCTCAAAAGTCGCCTGCGATGACGCCCAGGGGAACAAGGGAGTGTGCAAGCCACCCAACTTCTGTTGCGCAGCGGATGGCTTTCAGTGTGTTTTCAGAGAGGAATGCAAGAGCTAGACGATTCATGTCCTCTAGCAGTTGTACCTTGTGAGGGAGAATTATTTTCATTAGATTCTGACAGACTCATGTCTTGGGTTTCGAACTCGGAACGCTCTCTTCTGAACGCTGATTTCTATGTGAGATGTCTATCAATATAACCAGCTTGCCAGGCTGATTGCAGTAGGTCTTAAGCCATGCGCGTATGTCGAGTTACGCACCACGATCAATGGCTAGTACCTTGGCCGAAGAAAGGCAAGCAGGAGACTTGTGGCGCTTGTCATTACTGTGCCTTCTTGCCAATGCCGGTCTGTTCCACAGAGGTCAGCTCCCGAATCAACCTCATATACCAGCTCGCGCCCAGGGCGGTGAAGATGTGCCACCATCCGTGGAGCTCCAACAGCCATGCGGCAGGCAGTCCGAGACTCTTCCTCGCGGCTCTCAGCTCGGCGCAGTATTCCAAGTCGATGTGCCACAGCGTGAACCCCACAATCAGAATGATACAAGCCTTCCAGAACTGCTTCATCAGTCCCTTCTGCTGCTCTTTCGAGTAGCATCCGGTCCAGTAGACGATGAACAGCGTCCGCGGCCAGACAAAGGTCAACAGCCCGGTGAAGGTCGCGACGTGGATGGCGATGTCCCCCGAGCGGACGTAGATGGCTGCGATGGTGGCGATGCCGAGCCAGAGGATGGTGGTGATTGCTGCCCCCACGGCGCGCGACTGGCGGAAGGCGTACAGGGGCTGGACGAGCGAGCCGGCGAGGACCAGCATGGAGAGGTCGTCGAGAAGCTGCGTCTCCTGGTGCATGGTGCCGTGGAAGACGCCGGAGAAGATGCCGACGGCGAGGAGGCCGATGGATTGGATGTCAAGGGTTCGGTACCATGGGACCGCGGCCTTGGAGTTGGCCCGGGGGTATTTCAGGGCGAGGTAGACTGTTGGGGGGTTCAGCATGATGAGCGCAGGGATGGGGCCGATGGGTTTGTCACTCACTGTAGGTTGCATTGGACAGGCAGTTGATGAACTCTGCGATGTACCGCGTGAAGATGTAGTCTTCTTCGCAGAAGCTGAGGAGATGGTACGTCAGCATGTGATCCGGCATGATTTCCTAGAGTCCTGCTTACTTTGCCTTGCTTGTTGGGTAGCCCCAGATACCATCGCCCGCTGTTGCGTCGCTCGCAAAGCGGAGAGTCTGATGCTTGTGGCTCATTATGACAACACCTCACTGCTTGTCGTTGTCACTGGCGGAAGCTACGTTGAGTCGTTGACTCTGCTGGTGGAGTAAGAAAGGCGCGTGATTTTGACGCGACTGAGATTTTCCTCGTGCTGGAATACCTACCTATCGATAAACCGGGGTGGTGGCAGCCAATCGCGAAGCTTAAAACCGATGCAGGTCTTCTGGAAAAGGTCTCGAGTTGGGGTTGGAAGCGTCAGAACGTCACTCTTCCGCAATGCTTGGCTTCAATGTTCGTCCGGTCTGCATTTAAAGCTCAGGGGGAAGTTGCCAACGATCCGAAGCGAGAAAAAAGAAATGGAGCCTCGGGAGGAATGGGAAGTAACATGGTTGCGATGTGGATCACGTAACCTGCAGAACACCTCACCCGTTGCGCCGTGGGTTCCACTTTATGGGGTCGGTCCGCATGCCCGCGGAGGCCCGGAGCCGGGGCGGATACGGGTCTCGGCTTCACCGATGGCTCTCCTGGACTGAACGACGCGTTCTATCACAGAAAGCTAGCGACGTTGAGCCAGGGGAAATTTTCATAACGCCAAAGTCGACGATCGAGTGTGTTGACCAGGACAGGAAAGAGGCATGATCCAAACGACATTTAGGACCGTGCGAGCGATTCCCTGAAGTTTGTTTGATCTTGATATCTTTCTCCCATAGTTTCTTCTTCTACCTACCTGCTCTTGCTTCACTTGTTTATTGATAGACTCCATTTTCGCTTTACTGGTACCCAGGGTACCTTAGGTAAGGTAGTTTGGCTCGTGACGACAGCCTCTTTCTGGCTCCGGCACCCGGTCACAACTTACAAGCGGGTTGACGGAAACTATATGTACCCACAACTACCTAAATGCAGTAGAGGGATCTCTCTTTTGTATATGGCGCAACGGTACAATTCCGAATTCTGTCAGTTATGAGCCCAGATGACTCAGCACTATCTCGACCAATGGGATACCTTCAAATACCTCAACACAGGGCACCTACGGCCCTATTCGCACCGCTTCTTACGCCTCTGCAACTCTAAAACAGAGCCCTCAGGTTCGATCCCACCAAGGGGAGCCGTCGAATAGGCCACAGTCGAATCCAGCTTTAGCAATGCAGTACTACTACATAGCAAATCCTGAGGGGGTGTGACGGAAACTATATGTACCCACAACTACCTAAATGCAGTAGAGGGATCTCTCTTTTGTATATGGCGCAACGGTACAATTCCGAATTCTGTCAGTTATGAGCCCAGATGACTCAGCACTATCTCGACCAATGGGATACCTTCAAATACCTCAACACAGGGCACCTACGGCCCTATTCGCACCGCTTCTTACGCCTCTGCAACTCTAAAACAGAGCCCTCAGGTTCGATCCCACCAAGGGGAGCCGTCGAATAGGCCACAGTCGAATCCAGCTTTAGCAATGCAGTACTACTACATAGCAAATCCTGAGGGGGTGTGACGGAAACTATATGTACCCACAACTACCTAAATGCAGTAGAGGGATCTCTCTTTTGTATATGGCGCAACGGTACAATTCCGAATTCTGTCACGGGTCTTCTTTTTCAGGAAGGGCAGGTTCCATACTGTGAATGCCTTCTCCAATCTTAGATTGAAGGACTACGGAAAGCACCACAGGCCTTGACACGGGCAGACACAGATAGGTAGGCAATCAGGTACACCGTACAACCGGCCCCCTCCGCGCCTTCCCTCTAAGTTTTATGCGTGTCCGTTCTTACTTCACCTTCTTGATGTTCGGTTCCTGCCTCAGCAGGATCCACCATGTACTTGCCTAGGTAGGTGCCCAAGGTGACACTCTCCTTCCCTATTCCCTCCTGCCTCTGGTAGTTTTCGCCCTCGAGGCTCTACTGCTCCTTCCCAACGAAAAGACCAGACTTTTCCCCTCCCTTCTGGCTTTTGCCGAGTAAGGTTAACTCCCAAATTCAGCCATCCCTTGCACGCCCGAGACTTTCCACCATTCATCACTCGTCTCCTCCCAACGACCTCACGTCATGCGGTGATCCTCGGATCAACACTGCGCTTGTTATGAAGATTACCATATTGCCATGCGAAATCATTGCGGAGATTCTGGGCCAGCTCGACAAGGTGCAAGACCTCAAAGCTCCCCTACTATCCTGTCGGTTGTTCCACGATGCATATACCCAGCATCCGAGTCTGGCACAGCAAATCATCCGGAAACAAATACCCAAGCAACTGTTACCGTATGCAGTCGCATTGATCTATGCACCTCGGATTTGTGTATCGGAATTCACGTCCAAAGCCCTCAGAATGACACCTGAGGATGCAGATGCATTGGTCTTCAGCTCCACGCTTGAGGGTGCCGTTGTGTTGACAAGCAGTTTCCAGACGTTTTCACTCCCACAACTCATATCTATGGAGGGAACACATGACCTCATTGTCGATATTGCGTTCCATTTTGCCGAAAAAGCCTGGACTGCCATTTCGGACACCTTGAACAAAATGATATGCGCCAAGTTGATGAAGTTGATGCCGAATCATCTAGATCTATCTCAAAAGGACCGGCTCCGCTTTTGCCGGTGCTTTTACCGAGTGGAGCTTTATCATGGCCTCTTGGGCAACAGCCCGTACACCATAAGAAGGGATGTCCATGTGACTCAAGGAAATCAGTCATCAGATGCAGCAATCCGAGTTGATGACAAGGGCCGAATATGTCAAATGCGCCCTGAAGAGCGCCTTCTTGCTGATCTTGCGCCTTGGGAGATCGAGTAGCTAGGAGCAGCGACAAGGTATCTGAGCAATCGATTCATGGCAGCTGCTACAGGATTGTTGGCCAACGATATCTCCACGGGTAAGTTGTCAATTCTAAACACGATTTTCTCTAAAACTGACATCCCATTAGGCAAATGGGTAAGATCCGCCGCTCCTATCTTGATGCCTTTTGTTAGCACTTTGTTCTTACGTTCTGCTGATGTCAAACATAGTGTTGGTTCACGGGGTCGTATACGACAAATAGTGGTAGCAATTATCACTCGTCTTTTGGTGATCCTATTGCTTGTTCTTCTTGTTGTTGTTCTATCTTACATTGTAGGCAGGAGTCGGTCGAAGTAGGTAGTGACGGCCTGGGTGGTTGCCCCACCTTTATCCGGCCGTGATGACTAAGCCAGTTGTCCCACTTCGCCCAGGGCAGGTGCCAGCCAGCCCATGGTACCTGCCTATTACTCCTTATCAGCCTTTGCTGTTCCAACACATAGCTTTTCAAGGGCTTGAAATACCTTCGCAATATCGAACAGGTGCCATACGTCGATAGGAGGAATCTTCTACAGGTGGAGAATCATGACTCCCAACCCCATTTGCTCATAGAACTGCGGTTGTATCATGTTGAGAGGGGCAAGACTCAATATGACACAAAACTAGGTGCATCGTTGCGAGGGCCTAACTTGGCGGATACCGACGCTGATGAAGGGCCGCGAAAGGGGCTATACTACATCAGCTCTCGTGCTCTGATGGAAACCGAACTCAGAGGCCCCAGAGAGCGAGCGTACGTGTTTTGGGACCACGAACGCTGGGAGAAGTACCATGTTTGCACAGCAATCTTGTCTAGCCTCCCTGTTTATTTGTCACCAGCGCAACCATAATGGCCCGATGAGGACGAAAATATGATGTCCATCTGGTGTTACAGAATGGAGATATGGGCCGTGGGTGGAACTTGGAAGAGAAAGCTAAAGGAAAGAGGATGACTCGAAGATTGCGTGATCTGATAACTTGTCGATCATAGCTCGAGAAGACCGACCAGGGCACAGTCTTGGGAGAAGAAGCAGAAGTGAAGAGAAGCAACTGGTATTAAAGCTTGGCTCTGGGATGAAAGCTGGCAAATTTTGCGCAAAAGTCCTTTACTGCACCATCTCTAGTAGTGTCAAAGGGGAAGAAAGTTCACGATACCTACTAGGTGATGTCTAACTCAGTCGTCAAAGCAATATGATACTACTCGCTGCAGAAGTGCCTCATAAGGTACTCGAGGAATTGCCGCGTTCTATTTCCATCTTTTTAGCCATTATCTCAATGCTGGAGGGGAGAAGTGAAGAAAAGAACTTTCTGCTTCACTGCAATTTTAATTACTCCCAAGGAGTCAAGCTCCCGAGATCAATCAATGATTCGGCAATCACAATGTGTCGCAAACTTTCCTAGAGCCACGCTTCATGGAATTCATGGGTTAAGACGACAGGCATAAGCATGTCGGACACTCACAAAGTATCTAATCTTTTGGTATTGTCGGATTGGAAGTCCAATTCGGCCGCGAGTAGGGGCAGAGCATGGGCCACCTCGAGGGGGTACACTTAGACCTCGACTACCCACCCAACCTCCGGTTGGAATCTCCCTTCTACTCCTTACGCAGAATCAATCAATACAGAGATATTGATACTTCGTCACCCCCAGGACCCTACGGTTCGAACCAAATTCCCTGTGAAAGGAATACCAACAGGTATTCCATCTCTGCGATTCTCGGTACCTTTTCAGATGCGACAGGTGTACCACATGGCTCTTCCGCACTCAATAGACCTGTAGGTACATACGTAAAGTTCAGGAATCGAGATTGCTTCGAAAACGACAAAGAAATTTCCCAGCTGAGTGGTACGCTAGCTTGGTGAGATGGGTTAGTCCTAAGCCCAACGTCCTCCAATGCGGGATCACATGCATCACCAGATGTCGTCGACTGAAGCTTAGTCATCATCTCCAATTGATTTACACGGTTCTTCTTACCCGCGGCGACGAGGGGAGGCTCGAGAGTGACAACCCCGCGCGAGCCGGCAAGTAGCCAAGCGCTATTCTCCTCACCTACATCATACTCACCTAGCGTGCATTTCTTCACCAGTTCATCCCGAGTTTTGTGAAGAAGAAAAGAGAAGAAAAGGAGAGACACCATGTCAAAAACTCAGTCCCCCCGCGCCGTGGAGGCGGTCCTCGCCATCCCGGAGCTCCTGGAGTCCATATTAGTGCAAGTCGACATGAGAACGCTCCTGGTCTCAGCGTCGCGGGTGAGCAAGACATGGAAAGCCTTCATGGACGGATCAACAGCCGTCCAGCAGGCATTATTCTTCAAACCAGTCTCTGTGGATATCTCACGGGCAGTGATCCACGGCCTCGAGGACGGTGACTTCTCCAGCATACCGGATCAAGGTGCCATGCCATCCCACACGACCGGTGACCGCCTCATCAACCCCCTCCTAGCAGAGAAATTTGACAAATGCTTCTTCGACTTTGGACCGACGTACTCGTGCCAGCGCCGGGCGAATTCTTTCTACGAGCTCCCTTGGTCAAAAAGCCCGGAACCGATCCAGACGGTGCAGGAGTACTGGGGCGGATGGAGCCAAATCAAACCGGCCGAGCTCGACGACGAAGCAGCAAGATATCAAGACGAGGCCAGGACGCGATTCACGCGCCGCGGCGCAACTTGGCGCCGCATGCTTGTCTCGCAGCCACCGCCGCCGTCGTTGGGATATATGCGCTTCGACGTCTGTAATCTCTTGCTGGAAGCGCAAAAGGTTGCGAGTTCTCTGATCCAGCAGCCGCCCTCATCCTTCTCCTCGAATGCCGCCGAGACGCAAACACCATGCAACGGTGTGCGCATGGGAGAGCTCTACGATATGGTCCAGCACGCGGCTGGACACCACGGGCGGCATTCTCTCTGGTTCAGAGTCCTTTGGGGCAAACCAACGACGAACTTCGCCTTTTCGCACGTCAAGGATGTGTTTGATAGGTTGATGGCTCATACGAGCGTCGTTGTGGAGCTGATGCATGCGGACGATACGTCTCTCCCGAATCATCCGCAGGACCCGTCGGATGTGGGCGTTTTTGATGCCGCTTTTCGGTGTGAGGAGCATCGCGAGGTAAAGTTTGAGACGGAGCATACGTGGGGGGAGGCGGTTGAGTTTCCTCACTTTCATCCGCGGTATGTTGTTTGGCATTGGAAGTTGACGGAAATTGAGTAGCCCACTCTTTGATGGCGTCTAAAGGGCTTTCTGTATTGTCTTCTGTTGATATCAAGGGTTTTTCACATGTATCTTCTGTCATGTTATTTATGATTTGTCTTCATTCGTTTCACTGTTTAAGTTACAAAGTTCCAGGAATCCTCTTGCACACATGCCTGGTTTTAGCTTAGTACATTATCTCATTCTTCTGGATACGCGATCATGAAGCCTTATGAAGAGGGGAGGCGCTCGGATCTGTTTCTGGCATAGCAGTATACAATTATTTTCTTTCAAACAGTGACCAGGACTCGGGCAGCATGTTTCTTGGTATTTCTTTCTATGCTTGTGCTCAGACAAGATGGAGATTAGTTGGAGATTATTTGGCGCTCGGACAGTATCACCACTTCCGCAGGATTGTTCCTCGTGCGAGTAGCTGAAAGTACAATGTCTATAAGCTTAATAATACATGATTGGCCGAATTGCAGAACTCCTCCTCGCCCCGGCGTAGTCCTAGGATGAGGTCTTGGTATGGACGATGAGATTCCTCGTGAACATGAAGCATCCTTTGAGAGATTGCTAGCTAGCCTCAAGGTTTGAAGTAACCTGTCCAGAGCTTCCGCAACGACCCGTTCGGGTCATACTTGGCAGCGACTGCCCGAAGCTTGTCTTGATTGACCTTGCCATAGCTTTCAATGACATTTTGTAGCTTCCCAGAATAGTTCATATACTCAAAGCCATTCCCAAATCCTTGTTTTTGAGCCATAGCGTCCAAGTCCTTGATAATCTGGTTTGTCCTAACATCGATCATGTCGTCGAGGGCTGCGTCGCTCCCAGCCGTAGGCACTGACACGATATGGTCTTGATTCTCCGATGGGTTCGCGTTGACGATTTCGCCGGACACGAGCACGCCCTCGTAGTCCTGAACGTTGTCGCAGCCCATTCCCCGCCTGCCGGTGAGGAACGACATGCCACCGCCAAGTAGGAACCCTGAAAGGCCGACCATTGGGCTGCGACCGCCAACGACCGCGATTCCATGGGGCGTTACGGCGTTGGTGACATTGATCCACCGAGCACCAGGTCCGACAGAGACAGTAGATCGATCGGGTGAGACTTGGATGCCGTTCATCGATGTCATGTTGATGACGACCCCATCCTGAATGTTAGATCCTCTGTCGAATGCGGTTTGCCCTCCACTCCTAATGGTGAAGGGGCTGTTGTTCTTGGTGACAAGCCTAATGGTCTTTGAAACATCCTCGGAGCAAGCTGGAAGAAAAATGCATGAAGGCTCCAGGTTTTGCCTCCCCGACCAGTAAACACTTGATGACTTATACGTTGCCGTGTCCGGGAAGGCTACTTTTCCTGGAAGCACAGCGTCGATGACCTCGTACTGGAGGCTCAGTCAGCATCATCATGAGCTTCGCCTTCTCGAGAAAATTACCTACTATGGATGGCGATCCGGCTGAGGGTTGTGCAAGACATAGCAAGGTATGTGTAAGGCCCGAAAGGAGGAATAGTTTGGCCATTTTGGGCAGCATTTTTGTTGTATGCAGGAGAAGAGCTAATGATCAAAAGCGAGGGATACCAAGGCTATGAAGCAAAGAAGATCGGTTCCCGATGCGAGAAACATCGCAATTTATCATCCAGAACAACTCTATCGACATGAGAACTGCCATAGACTGATCATTGCGTCAACACCGGAGACTGTGATTGCGTCTCGGGATACGCCAATGAGGTCAACTGCGCAAGCATCTGTGGAATTCGCGGTGGGAACCAATGCTAAAGTAGCGACTACCTACACATCGATCTGATACGGCAATGAGGGATACTGTGAGGGCGTGACTGTACATATTGTGCCGCGTTCTAGGCTCGTGTTAGTCATAGGTGGCCATGTGTCAGAGCCCTCCCGGATAGGGGCTAGTTAGAGGTAGTAAGGAGTCCAAGCAACAAAGGAGCAGCTCAGATATATATACAGCGCAGGGAGTACACGTCGAGGGAGGAGCAGATTTCAGTAATTCATCATTCTACCCCTAACTGCAGTTGGCCTCTGAGAGCTTCCACCCTGCGTCAGCACCCCAACTTGACACCATGGCAAGCTGCAATATGAGACCAATCTGCGAGCTGTCAATTTGTACTTGAAACTCAAGCTGAAAGACTTTGGCAGCTTCACTTATCAGGCTTTTACTTCCTTTCGCACGAATTATTTCTCTTTTAGCTGCCAAGTATGGTTTGTAGAAGTTCTCCATTCCTAGAAATCAACCTCGCAGGCTGAGTCAAAATCTCTTAGTGTACTCTATCACCACCTCGGTGAGGCGAGAACGGATTCACGTTGCTTAAGTTATTCAGGTGGCTTATAACGAGAACAATTTGAATGGTAAATAAAGGGAGAGCTATGGTCCATACTTTGAATTAAACAATTACCTTAATCTAAGGTAGACGCGGTGCTTAAGCGACGATGACTAATGACGTCAAAGATGCCACACACACACTCCTTGCTTCGTGAATGTCACTTTGAGACAAGCTTAAACGTGAGACTTTGGCGATGCACCCAACGGCTTCCCGAAAGCGGAAAATGACAACAAAGAACCTGGAAAATGTGACACTGGATGACAGCCACGCTGTGACCTCTTGACCTAAACTTGAGAGCTTTGGGGAGCAGCGGCCCGGGAAGTGTTCCCCCGACAGGCAGCCAATCAGACTCGTCTAACTTGAGAGGTCCTGCACGTCGAGGTCGGCTGACGCGGCATCCGCAGTGGATCCCTGAAAGTGGGGTTCGACCAAACCAGACTGACGGCACGGAGGAAGGTGCAGGGCGAACTGGAGCACCTACGTTCTGGGTTGGGGAGTTTAGCTGCCCCTTCTGCGACGGGATGCTTCAAGGTTGCATCGAGGCGAACTGTATGCGCTGTGCCGCTGAAGCCTATGAGGCGCAAAGAGTAGAATTGGGGGGATTGAACATGCGCGCATGCCTACCTTAACTAAGGCACTGGGGGGAACACCAGTTTGGGCAATCTGGCTGTCTGGTTCGCCTGCACCTGCCTGGCCTGACTTTGGGTTGCCTGCGCACACTTGCCGTCTGGGCACTTCCCAGTAAACTGGTTCTCTGTCGTCTTAGTCATCACAAATCCTCGGTGGGCTGTCCGGATGCTGAAGTTGTTTCCTGCCCGTTCTTTCCGCCCCCCTTGGGCCGGGGAATTTCAACTTTCGGGGTCCTGGGTCACTGGTCAGGCAGGCCCACTCCATTTTTTTTCCCAGTCACGTCCCGGCCCTATTTCCACGTCCTCTTCCGAAAAATCGCCTCGTGTCCCGTCTCGTCTCACTCCAAACCTCACTTCTTCTCCCTCCGTCCCGTTCCTCCGACCCTCCACCCCCCCTCCTCCTCCGACCACGTCTTTCCGTCGCGCAACTGAGACAACCCATGTCACGAAGCGAAAAGTCCTGCTGACGACACACTCATTCTTTCACCATTCGCTATACAATACCTATTGACTTCATTCAATAAATCCCATTCATTCACGCCCACGGAAACCCGCCCCACCCGACCAGCGACAGCCTAAAAGCTATAGAGAACCTCGACACTTGAACGAGTCACGCGCGCAACGCCCACCTCCCCCCCCCTCCTCCCGTCCAACCCGACCTTTGACGGTTGCCCTCGCCGCCCATCATGCCGATCCTTGGTGGGAAGAACAAGTTCAACACCAAGCCGGCAGCAATCCGCGTCGAGAAAGTAGCCGCCGCCCCGAAGCCGCGCCCAAGGCTCGCCCACGCGACATCCTCCACATCCTCCGCCAAAGCCTCCCCGCGCGCATCGCCAAAGCCCAACGCCAAATCCCTTCTCTTCCGCAAGCAGAGCGCCTCGCCCTACCCTTCCTCCTCCTCGGACGAGAAGCGCAGCGAGCGCAAGCGCAAGGTCGGCAGCGCGGGGCCGTCGCAGCCCAAATTCGATAACGACTCTGACGGCGACGACAACTACGAAGAGTTCCTGAAGCATGAGCCTAGCAAGCGGCAGCGCACGCAGGATGGGCAGTTTGTAGACACCCAGCGCTTGTTGACTCGGTCGAGCGCATTCAAGGACAATGCGAAACCTCTCAGTCGGCTGATTCACGCCGCACAAATCTCCAACCTCAAGAAGTGTCCCAAGGCCACGCGCTCGCTCGGTGCGACAGCAGATGACAATGTCAGAGTGCGACTGCAATACCCGAGCAATTACGGGGCGGAAGAGTAGGTTTCGATGTCAAGTTGCGACTATGGTAACGGTATCGCTAACCCCTCACTAGGTACGAGCTTATTAACGACAAGGGCATCATCAACGCGATTGAGGACATCAAAACGGTAGTCGGTTTTGTCGCCAACGTATACCTCACCGAAGAGCAGGCCGAAGAGTTCACAGAGCAGCAAAACGGCTTCATACGGCGGCTCAGAAAGGCATCAAACACAAACGACTTCCACGGTTTCGTGTCGGCGCTCAACGATGCGAACAGGAGAATTCGCACTCTTGCGGCGGACGGCACAATACGCAAGAATCTGGACAAGATACACGGGCTGCCCAGGGATTTGGTCGAGTTCATCCTTACCCAGGTGTACGACCGCACAGTATCACCAGACGTGGAAAAGTTGAAACAGTATAAAAACGGCACCGACAATGTCTACGGCGAACTAGCGTACAGGCTCATCTCCGATATCCTACAGGAAAAGACCCGAATGACGTCAGACCAAGTCTTTGTCGATCTCGGCTCTGGCGTGGGCAACGTGGTGTTCCAGGCCGCGCTCGAGATCGGCTGCGAGAGCTGGGGCTGCGAAATGATGGAGAACCCGTGCGACTTTGCCGAAGCGCAGGAGAAGGAGTTTGGCGCCCGCTGCAAGATGTGGGGTCTGCTGCCCGGCCGAGTCAACCTCGAGCGAGGCGACTTCACTAAGTGTACCCGCATCCACGAAGCCATGAAGCGCGCCGACGTCGTCCTTGTCAACAACCAAGCCTTCACTCCGCAGCTCAACGCTGAGCTGGTCAACATGTTCCTCGATCTCAAGCAAGGCTGCAAGATTGTGTCGCTCAAGTCGTTCGTCAACGACCAGGGAACGCGCAACGCTAACGACATTGCGAGCAACATCTTGGAGGTCGAGCATCTGACCTATCCTGAGGGCGGACCAGATGGTAACTATGTCAGCTGGACCAACGCTGGCGGCAACTATTGCATATCGACGAGGAAGTAGGCGGCTGTTCATTCCATCAGCATCCGTCGTTACGCCGCATGATGTCCCACGGGACTTGTGCAGTAGCTACAATGTGTGTTATACATTGAGCATGGAAAGACCAAGGAAAGAAGAAAAAATGGAATACTGGCATAGGAGAGGAATCAGCGTTTAGTTCATTTACCTGTAGAAATTTTTACAACTCCCCATAGAGCATGTCAGCCGGGCAGACAGCCATCGAGACAGAGAGAAAAGGAGAGAGAAGCGTGGCGTGGCGTATGCGGAGGGGAGGCTATACACGAAATAGACCGCATCATCAGCGCTCGTTTGCGAGATTCATGGCATCGGCCTCCTGGGCCATTCTCTTCATCCACCGATCGACGAGCTCCTTGTTCTCCTTCTTGACCTTGTCCCGCTCTTGCTCGGCCATGGACATTTGCAGGTTCATCGTAATCATCTCGTCTTGTACGTTCTGTGGACGACACGCGAGTCAGCTCTTTCATCCCAGGCCACCACCGTTTTGTCAAGTTTTCCCCCGTATTCGCAAGATCAGGTAAGCGCCGTGGTATGGCTTTGCACTATTTACCTCGACCAGCTTGCGCTTCTCCCGCAGCTCGTGTTCCCGATCTCGTAGTTTAGTTGTGAGGGCGGTATTCTCCGCCGTCAGGCTGCGTACTTTTCTCGCGTCTTCCTTGTGTTTGCTTCGTAGCGTCTGGGCCTCGTCCTCGGCTTGCTTGGCTCGATCTTTGAGGGTGCCGTTTGAGCGGAGGGCCTCGGCGAGTTGGAGCTGGAGCTGCGCGATGGTCGGGTTGGAGGAGCTTGTTGTTTCTGTTGTTGAAGAAGGGGGAGGGAGTATGTTGTTGGACTTCTCGGAGGCTGTGGTCTTGCTCTTCTTTTCGGGCGTGGTCTTGGATTTGAGGACTTGGTTTTCGGCTTCGAGGGCTGCTACGTGGTCGGAGAGCTGGGAACCTAGTAGTGGACAAGGTGGTAGGTTCAGTTTGCTAGTCTTGGAGACTCGGAAGAGGAGCTTCAGGGCCTGGGGGTCTTACAGAGCTGTACGATTTCGAGGTTTACGGGGTTGTTCTTCTCTTGCTCCCGGATGGAGGCTAGGTATTCGGAGCGCCAGTCGGCCATGATGGGCGAATTTTGGTGGGGGCGAAGGGGAGAGCTGGGGGTTGTTTGCTGTATCGGGGGTTACATTTATCTGAGTAGCTGTTTGCAATCCCCCATGGATTCGATACAGAAGCTGAATCTGGGAACAATGACGGAAATAGCTCTTGTAGGTATGCCTTTCTTGGTCGAGTTATGTTGGCGGAATGGCGCATGCGTTTTGCATTCCAGACACGAACGACCAGGCTCCTTCGCGGTCGCAGCGCATGGTTGTCCGCAGGCAGTCCGTCACCTGCCCTGGGCCCGGTGTCCAAGGGTGAGCTGGGGTCTCTTTGTCTTATCGGCGCACTACAGTTTTGGTGGGGTTCCTATCGCCTGCCTGCCATGGGGAAGTGACGCAGCTCCTTGAAGCCGGTGATTAGCCGGTCCCAGCGGTGAATTGAGGCTGCTCCCCTGTGATTCTTGGCGCAAGCTCCATTCGACCTGGGTGCCTGGGGTACCGTACCTCTAGCTCATTGAGAGCTTGGGTGGAAGCTCATACCTTCAACCTCACTTCTCACTCATCTCATACCTCGGTCTCAAATCAACATCAGAACCAGGACCTCAACATCATCGCAAGCTCACATATCCAAATCTCCAAACTGTTTCAAACTCAAAGTCCACGTGTGATAAGAAAATAGGCTCACGATATCTGTTGGACAAGGCCCGGGCGAATGAGGAAAATGACATGATGGAAGCGTCTCACCCTGCGGCAGGATGGGAGAACATCGGCGAAAAATGGTACCGTAAAGTCCAGCTCTACACCGAGGTATTCGACCAAGACCTCGACCTCGACAACTACATCGTCGCCGGTGCGCCCTACGGCGGCGCCCTCGCTCTCCTGCGCGACGACACCAAGATCCAGGCCGTTCGCGCCGCCACCAGCAAGACTAGTACAGGGGCAGCCTCCAGCAATAAACCCGGTATCGACATTTACTCGTACGCCGGCAAACTCCTCCGCAGGATTCCATGGGACCAGGGCTCCGGCACGATCAAGGGGCTAGGATGGGCGAGTGTACAGGGCGGCGAGGAGAAGTTACTCGTCGTCACGGCGGACGGCACGGTGAGGGTGTATGATCTCCAGGGCGAGTTCACGCAGTTCTCGCTCGGCAACGGCGCAGACGAGATCGGCGTCGTCGGGTGCCGGTTCTACGAGACGGGTATGGTCGCCCTGCTCGGGGGCAACGCGCTTGTCTCCGTCACGTCGTACGCGGAGCCCCGACCCAAGGTCCTCGCCGCGCCGCCGGAAGACCAGGGCGAGATCCACGCGTGGGCCGTCGTCTCGCCCGACCACACGCTCTCACGGTCTGTCGAGGTGCTGCTGAGTATCGGGGAGACCGTCTACGTTGCCGACGCGGCCGAGTGCGAGGATCGGTTCCTCGATATCGGGCCGTTTAGCCACATCAGCGTCTCGCCTGACGGGAGGCTGATTGTGTTGTATACCAAGACGGGCAAGGCGCATGTTATATCGAGCGATTTTCAGGAGCGGTTGGTGGAGCACGACTCGCAGTCAAGGATCCCGCCAAAGTATGTGGAATGGTGCGGTTCCGATGCGCTGATTGCGTGGGAGGACGAGGTGCACATCATCGGGCCCGACAGCGCGACGGCCGAATTCTTCTACGATGGACGGGTTCACGTCATTTCTGGTACGTTCACCTCATGAACAACTCCCTCAGTGTTCAAACATCATCTAACAAGACCATCTAGAGCACGACGGCGCAAGACTCATCACAAACGACGTTTGCGACTTCCTCGAACGCGTCCCCCACGCCACAGAAGACGTCTTCGGCACCCGCGCAGAGTCCTCCGCGGCCTCCATCCTCCTCGACGCCGTCGGCCAGCTCGAGCTCCAGTCCCCAAAAGCAGATGACTACATCCAGCTCATCCGCGCCAACCTCACCGAGGCCGTCGACACGTGCGTCAACGCCGCCGGCCGCGAATTCAGCGTCCACTGGCAGAAGCAGCTCCTCAAGGCCGCCTCCTTTGGCAAGTCCGTCCTCGACATCTACAACAGCGACGAGTTCGTCGACATGTGCGAGATCCTCCGCGTCCTCAACGCCGTCCGCTTCTTCGAGGTCGGCCTGCCCCTGTCCTTTGACCAGTACCAGCGCCTCACCCCCGAAGGTGTGCTCAAGAGGCTCATCAACCGGCACGAGTACCTCCTCGCCCTCAAAATCGCAGGCTACCTCCGCCTCCCCACAGACCGCATCTACGTCCACTGGGCCTCTGCCAAAGTCCGCTCCGGCACCGAAGACGACGACACGATATGCCGCCTCGTCGTCGAGCGCCTCTCAGGCAAACCAGGCATCTCCTTTGAAGAAATCGCCTGCGCAGCCTACGACGAAGGCCGAGGCCGCCTCGCCACCGAGCTCCTCAACCACGAACCCCGCGGCGGCCGCCAGGTACCCCTCCTCCTCAGCATGGAAGAAGACGAGCTCGCCCTCGACAAGGCCATCGAGAGCGGCGACACGGACCTAATGTACACCGTCCTCCTCCAGCTCAAGAAGAAGCTCCCCCTCGCAGCCTTTTTCCGCACCATCAACGCCCGCCCCGCGGCCACCGCGCTCGTAGAGTCCTCGGCCGCGCGCGAGGGCGACAACGCACTCCTAAAGGACCTGTACTACCAAGACGACCGCCGCGTCGACGGCGCAAGCGTCTTCATCCGCGAGTCCCTCGCCCAGGCCGACGCGCGCACGGCATCGGACAAGCTCGCCCTCGCCGCGAAGCTGCTCTCCGACTCCCGCGAGGCGTCGTTCGAGGTGCACGCTCTCAAGGAGGCGCAGACGCTGCTCAAGATGCAAGAGGCGTTTGACCGCGACCTCACCGATACCTTTACGGGGCTCAGCGTCAACGAGACCATGTTTAAGCTTATCCGGCTGGGGTACCACAAGCGTGCGACAAAGATCCAGAGCGAGTTCAAGGTGCCGGAGAAGGTTGCTTGGTGGCTTAGGTTAGTGAATTCTGTTTCTCGTGCTCTTGTCTTCCTCGGTTTCTTGTGTACTCGGCTACCCCTCTCTATCCCCTTGCCAAGACGGGGAGGCATTATACAGCTGCTAACCCCTACCTTCTTCCTTGCAATAGACTACGCGCTCTCGTTGCAAAGCGAGACTGGGCCGAGATTGAAGAGCTCGCAAAGACGAGGAAAAGCCCGATTGGGTGGGAGGTAAGCTTTTCTTTTTCTTCACATACTACAATCTACTACACACTGTCACAAAACCATGAAAAAACCCGCGTGTTCGGCATCCCGCTGTCCTCCGTGACACGTCGGAATTACACTCTACTGTAAATCGGACGAAGGAAAGGAAATAAGCTAACCTCCGAGCGCAGCCGTTTTACAACCTCACGCTGCAAGCGGGCAACCCGCGGCTGGCGGCGGTCTTTGTGCCAAAGTGCACGGGCCTGGAACCGGGAACGACGATTACCATGTACGAGAAGTGCGGGATGCGGGTCAAGGCGGCGGAGGAGGCGGTCAAGCTCAAGGACGCCGAGGCGTGGGGTAGGCTCCTCGAGGCGGCGGGACGGGGAACGCAGGAGGGGCGGGAGATTGAGAAGCTCGGAGCCGCGGTTTTCAAGAAGTGAGGCTGGCGATTGTTTTTTTTTTTTTTGCGAAGGCGAGGTAGGCGAAGCATTTGACGCTTTATTCGAGGACGAAGGATGATGAGATCAGACGAAGGAGAGGGGGCGGGGGTGTCAGGGTTAAAAGGGGTCGTCGTCGGTGGTTTAATCTCCCTTATTAACATACGTAATCTGAGCAGAATTAAGGTGATGCTCCGCGGCTGCTGTCGAAGATGAGAGGTCTTCCTTGAAGGTTTACGTTTGAGGCGATGTACAAATGGGAATTGGTGCCGTCGTCGATCCGGGGTAAGCTTGCCCACCAGCTGGTCGGGAACTAGGATTTCCCCCGGGCCAGGATGTGCGTGCGCGTAACGTGGTTTCTAGCTTTGTCGAACTCTTCACAGCCGATTATGCCAAAGGGAAAACTCAGGCCATGCCAAGTCCTAGTGTGCTAGATGTGCCGGATCGTCCAGCTGTCTGACGGGCTTGCGTTTATTCTTTGACGATTGCTTCCGGATACAGCTTCGCTTGGCAGATGTCTAACACAGCTGGGAGTCTTGAGACCTTTAGTGAGTCCAACTTACCTGTCACGTTTTGCAAGATTGAGTGAAGAGAGGGCACGAAGAGGTCGCGTGATAGATCGATCTACACGTGGGCGAACCACGGGAGACGGGCACGCCGCCGCGCCGACACGGGCTCCAGGGTTCGAAGACGGGTGCTCGTGAGCTAAGATAGCGCTGCGGATCGGGTTTGATGCTGTTTGCCTTTGAATGTCAGTTTGTCGAGGGGCAAACAATTGGATCTTGGCCCAGGAACAAACGCCCCTTTTGGCAGTGAGATTGCATAGGTAGAACAAAGCGAGGAGCACCGGGGGCCGTGGTCTCAGATGGGACACAAGGGAGCAATGCAGAGAGCGAGGTTCCAGGTTGAACCTAGGGCGGCTCTGGCGGGAGGTCTTCATGAATCAGGTAAGTTCTGGGGGACACCATCTCGGAGGATTGACTGCGCATGGGGGCGACGACGGTCCGATATGCCTTGCTATGCGCAAAAGGGGTTTCTGAACATGTTTGTTCGGGAGCGACAAAGCATGAGCACAAATCGGTTGAAGCAGGTTCATCTTTACGCAGAGATGGTTTCCGCGGATGCCTGTGGGTGGCTGACATTGAATAGTAAGTTTTGTTCTGTGACGCCCTAGTCGCTGGTGATGGAGGGCAAGGAGAAACAATTCTGAGTAGCATTTGGCCGAATTCTTTGGACCATCCGCTGTGTTCGAGCTGTAGGCAAAGACGGACGGAGTTGGGGTCCACAGCGGGCTCGGCCCCGGAGAAGAATCGGAGGGTGCATGAGCTGAGGCGTGTGCCGCCAGTGGGAGGTCTTGGCAATTGCTTCTCGTGACAAGGAGGAGGCCGACTCAAGGCGGCGAGGCAAGG